CTCATTAAAAAAACGCAAAAAACGCGTTTCTTGCGTTTTTTTAATGAGCGTTACTGACTCACAATCGCGGTTCCCTTTTGAGCGTTTAAACGCGTTTTTCCAAATGTTTGTCTGCTTGGGTGTCAGCCTAAATCCTACATTGATCCAAGGAGTCATTTTAAACCGAACTTCTGCGTCACTCAGAACCGAACATCGCTTGTTACTACGGCGTCAGCTTAAGTCATACATGGGAGTCGTGTAAGTAAGTGTGAGTCTTAGCGCAACATCGGCTTTTTCCGTGTCAGTTATAATGGAACATCGGTTTCTGGACCAATGTCCATTTCTCCTGCGTCAGTTAGGAGCGAACATCAGTTTCTTCGGTGTCAGTTTAAGCCGTACATCCATGTCTCAGATGTTAGCCTAAACCGTCTAATGGTGACATTTTTAACCCAATGTCCGTTTCTGCCGTGTCCGTTTAAACCGAACATCGGTTTGTTCGGTGCCGGGTTAAACCGAAAATCGGTTTCTTCGGTACCAGTTTAAGCCGAATATCCGTTTCTTCTGCGCCAGTTAGAACGGACGCAGTGAGTTTTAACCGTTCATCCGTTTCTTTAGTGTGCGTTTAAACCGAACGTCCGTTGCTCCTGCGTCAGTTAGAAGCGAAGGTCAGTTTCTTCAGTGCCGGTTTACCGAACGTCGGTTTCTCGCGTGTCCGTTTCTGCAGTGTCCGTTTAAACCTAACATCGGTCTCTTCGGTGTCCGTTTAACCCGAATGTCCGTTTCTTTGGTGTGGATCAGAACCGAACATCGGCTTCTTCCGTGTCAGTTTAAACCGTACATCGTTCTAAGGTATCATTGTACTCAGAACATCGGTTCGTTCATGTCAGTTTAAACGGAACACCGGTTTTTCTCGAGGCAGTTTAGATCGAACGTTCGTTTCTTTTGCGTCAGTTCGAAGCGTACATAAGTTTCCTCGGTGTCGCTTTACCAAACATCGGTTTCTTTGGTGTCAGCTTAAACCGTACATCGGCTTCTTCCGTGTCAGTTTAAACAGTACATCCGTTTCTTTGGCCGCAATTAAAATCGAATATCGGTTTCTTCGTTGTCATTCGGACGAAATATCGCTCTCTTCGGTGTCCGTTTAAGCCGAATGTCCGTTTCTTCGACGTCAGTTTTAACCGAACATGGGTTCCTACGGTGTCAGCTTAAACGGTACATCGGTCTAAGGTGTGGGTTTTAGCGCAGCATCGGCTTTTTCCATGTCAGTTTTAGTGGGACGTCGGTTTTTCCGGTGTTAGCTTAAGCTGAACATCGGGTTTTTCGTTGTCATTTAGACCAAACCTCGGTTTCTTCGGTTTCCGTGTAAATCGATCATCGGTTCCTACGGTGTCCGCATAAGCCGTAGATCGGTCTCTTCGGTGCGAGTTTAAAGCGTACGTCGGTTTCTTCGGTGCCAGCTTAAACCGTACATCGGTCTAAGGTGTGAGTCATAGCGCAACATCGGCGTTTTCGTTGTTAGTTTTAATGGAGCATCGGTTTTTCCGGGATCAGCTTAAACCGAACATCGGTTTCTTCGGTATCCGTTTCTTTGGTGTCCTTTTGAACAGTACATCGGTTTCTTCGATGTCGGCTTAAACGGAACTAAGGTGTTATTTTAAAAAGAACATCGGTTACTTCGGGTTCGGTTTTGGAGGGAACATCCGTTTTTGTCGTGTCGGTTTAATCCGAACATCGGTTTCTTCGTTGTCCGTTTTAAACGGATAAAGGAGAACAAGAATTGAAAAGTTCGAAGGTTTTCAAACAGATTGTGGTCGATTGTTAGGTCCGTTTTGAAAAAATAGGCCACTTTGAGAAGTTTATTGCTCTATAATGCGTTTTGTTTATTTATAAACAATTATATTTTTGATTTTGATTAATGCGATTGGATTTGTCGTGACTTTGTGTGTGCGCCAGAGTGTAGTGCGTACTACACAAAGTCAATGTAACTAGCTACATCGGTTTTATTTTATTTTTAATTTTTTAAAAGAAGTGGTAAGCAGTTCCGTTCAACAAGAACTGAATTAGTGCTCAGTTCTCGTTCAAACGAACTGAACTGGAACTGTTCCACCCCACTACGCGGTGGTTTCCTGTTTCTATTTAAAAAAGCGCTTGGTGGACTAATACAGTTTTCAAAGATATCAGTAGAAATCTGACGGGAGTTAGTGATGTGGCTTCTTAACGACAGAGAAGCTGGTAGAAGTTGAAGTCAGCAGTGCTTTGAGTTGAATCAGTTGTGACTTTTTCTCTTTTCTGCAGAATACTGTGTATATAAGGCGATAGCAGAATCATTCTGACATAAACCAATTCAAATGGTATAGCATTTCTCTCTGCTTCGCGTCTCTAGCGAACACGAAAGGTAGTTTTTTCTCACATCAATTTGACACAGATGTGTGCAAAATTGTTGCTTTAGTTAATTTTATTTTGATTTCATTCCTAAAATATTGATTAAGTAAGAAATAGAACAAATAGAACAAAAAAATACTTTTCAGAAATGTTTACAGTTCAAGAAGAACATTCTGGTAGTTTTTGCAATAAAACAAATATCTTTTATGATATTTTGTTTAACATCGAGAAATGTTGCTTCTATAAGCTTCTATGTGGATGATACAGAAAATGGCCAAAGTTAAAAATATTAAACATTTTTTATAATTGTTCCTCGCCTGAAGATGCTTTTCAGCGTAATAAAATACATACAGAACAGTATTCATCGTACTTACAACAATCCCTAATTTCTATAAGAAGACAAATTCAAACAATGGAAAATTATACTGGAATTTTCTGTAGTATTCCAAATGTTTGTTATTATCGAAGGTTAAATGACATGAGTAATAATCGTTAAGGAGTGGTAACAATAGCTATTTACGCGCATACGAAGAAAAGGAGACGCAATCATCCGTGAAACTACAATCTTACACAACAGGTAAAACAGAATGTGAAAGGCAATCATGGTTGGATGAATATATATGTCATCATTCTAGTTTGTAAAATTAGCCAGATTCTTATTTATTCCTTGCACTAAATAATTAAACTCTAAATGATTCATCGACTTACGAAGCATAAAGGAGAAATTTCCTTTACAGCAATGGAGTCCTTCCAGTCTACTCCAGAAATGAATACTCCTGTAGTAGACGGTAGGAGTGTTAATCCTCTCTATCTTAACGAACGGAATATTCACCTGCAACGAGACCCGAATGATCTGAAATTCGGTTTTTATCTTCGAGTTAAGAATGGCAAATATTATATACACACAACTGAACCAAATTCGCCTGCTGAACGTGGTGGTTTACACCCAAATGATGCTATTAAAACAATAAACGAGCATCCGACAGATCAAATGCCTATTTATGATCTTATCAAACTTATTCAAAACAGTAATGATCTCATATTCACCGTTCAACAGAACGTTACTCCTTCAGCTTGTGATATTAGTGGTGGGGAGAATCAGAAAGGTGAACAAAAACTACATCCTTCATGTAACTTTCTGTCGAGTGAAAGAACGAGCGCTACAAACGCTAATTTACATCATGAAAAAGTCTTAAATGGAGTCAGAAGACGATTATTGAAATTATTAAATAGATAAGACGTAAGCTAATTTAAGACGAATTCTTTAATTGGATTTAAAAGTACAGACAAGTCGATATCACGAAAACTTTTAGTGCTTATATCCGTCGGTACATTTTATTTTTATTGTAATTTATTCATTCCAGCATATCTATCGAATTTTAAGGAAGTGCTTCATTGGGTTTTAAGCTTCATTTAGGGAAGCCGTCAAAAAACGCATCGGTGAAACAGGTTTCTTTTAGTTTTTAAGAAATAGAGCTGTCAGTATCATAGATAAAAGTTAGTAAAATAGATCCATTTCAATTTAATAGTGATTTTAACATACATTTTACTAACTTTATTCTGTAATATTGAGATCTCTATATGCCAAAAAATTAAAGAGAGCTTTTTCTAAAAAAATAGCATAGTATAAAGTACGAGTTGTGTACTACAAACTGCCAGAAAAGCTGAGGAATGGTACCGTCAAATTTGTTAACTTTTTAATCCGGGAAGTTGCCAGAATAAACACTAATTTCATAGTAAAGGGAATCTTTCTTTTTGATAAAACGATAAAATTTGTTCTTTTCTCCATTTCTTGCTTTATATCTCTCTCTGTAGTGTGCATAGAAAGAAAAAAAACATCCAGTCCAGTATAGTACAGAAAAGAATATATACATACATCGTCATTCTGTTATACGATAGTTCCATATTCTTTTTCTCAGGCATATTGAATAATACTGTTCTCCGAGAACAGTATATATTTTCACCGGTAATTTGATTGGAAACAAAGTTGAATTTTGTTTCCAATCAAATTACCGGTGAAAATATCACCGATGCGACTTTTGACGGCTTCCCTTAAGACATTTTCCGTAATACGGCAAAAATCAGACTGAGAAGAGTTATTTTCGGATATGAGACGTCATTTCTATTTTTGCCGTTTACCGGTTAGAAATATATATTCTCGTGATATTAGTTTATTGGTTTTCGTTAACTTCGACCAATTTTGCTGGTAGTGATGGAAGAGTTAGAGCTGTTGCAACACAGCGTCACTAATGAATGCTCATTTTAAAATTTCAGATACAAACTTACGTTTGAGGTATAAAGGTTCTGAGCTTTTTAATTCATATTAGTATTTGTTCTATTTATTTATTAAATAGATAGTAGGCAACGTTTCGACGTTTTACATTCCTTCTTCAGGTCCCAACAAAAACTTTAACGACCTATGCATCAACAAACAAATTTGAAACGAAAACTCAGTTTAAATGGTGTAGAAACTAATTAAAAACATAATAACTAAAGTTATTTTTAATTAGACAAACATCATACTAAAATTAGTTACTTTTTCCTCTCCTGTTTTCTTAAATTGTATAATATGTATTTTCTTTCTAATACTCCATGTTTTATCAAGATTTCTATCTGTTGTGTATTCTTTTTCATCTTTTGGTTGTTCTTCTTTTACGTATCTTATATCGTTATCTTTTTTAATCCATTTTTCTATTTTTGGTCTCCATTTATGACTAATAATTATTCTTTTATTGTATGATTTATTGATTAACGAATATGCAGTCTCTATTCTTCTCCTTTTAAAGGCATTTATTTTGTTATAAAAAATAACATTCTCGTCAAATTGAACTTGATTAATTTTACAAGAAGCTCAATGTTTTGGTATCTCTGAAACGTCAAATTTGTCCCTCTTAACACATCTTTCTTATTGTTTTAATCATTTATCGACTCACTCACTCTCACTGACTTACACCGAACCGTACTGAAATTTTTATCCAATTTGGTTCAGCGCGGAGCAAGCACCAAATTTTCTAATGCTTCAAGCTGTTTTCTAGATAGGAGGCTTACACATATAGGAACACCCTACCTGAGCCGACGGGTCGGTGTAAAGAAACCAGCTATGTAGTCGTGATCTCTATGGTTTGAACCCTTTGTTCATTTAATAGGAATGCCACCTTTTTCCATAAAATTTAGACGGTTGTGATCCTACCCAGGCCGTGAAAAATGAGATAAAAAATGAGCCATGAATGACTCATTTATGTGCCATATATGGCTCATTTTTAAATCATATCTCTCCCATATTTATCTCATTTATTGTATCATAATGTAGTCA